TTTTCTTCACGCTTCAGTGGCTTTGTTCTCATGGGGAGCTTGGAAAAATAAAACGTATGGTCTCGTGTCAGCTCACTGTTGTGTGGAGCTTTGGTATGTTTCACTTGGCTGCTGGATTGTGGTAGAAACAAAACGCAAAACTCTGTGTGTTGTAATTGCAAGTAGACACCATTTGAAGTGTCCCAGAAGTATTCAGAAGGAGGCAAATGGAATTATACTGCCACAGAAATGGAGGAAATGAAATTTGAGATAAGAAGCTTATTATTCAGATTACTGAAAAATTCTTTTGTCTTAATGCATACAGATCTCAAATATCTTAGAAGCCGCTCTAAGAAAAATACTATTTAATGATTCATGATCTCATTGCCTCATTTTCAGTCTGAGGTCTTCCGTGACTGTCTGAGCCCTCCTCTAGAAGCAGAATTTATAGCTTGTCACGTAAAAAGCGGGGGAAAAAGCCTTCCTCAGTCAATTTTCTGATCTTCTGTCCATCAATGAAAACAAATTTCTGCACACAGAACGACTTACTGGATGTTTTTTCACATTCTGTTCCTTAGCGACCTTAAATCTCACTTAAGTTCAGCCTTTCATCCCCTGGGGTGACTGAGTTGTGGGACTGTGAGATCTCGCTTACCTTGACGGTGCCTCCCAGGTGCGCTCTCCTGGGAGGCCTGAGGGGCGCAGCCCTGGTCTGCTGCGCCTGATGATGCACCGTGCCTGCCAGGGCGCCCGGCGGGGCCGCAGCCCTGCTGCTTCGTGTGTACGGGGGGTGCGTTCAGCCCAGCTCCTCTCTTTACAACATCTACTGTAGGTTGCTGGTGAAATAGTAACAGCAGAAAAGAAAATGCTACATCTTTTGGTAATATAGCAGATGAACTTGGCTTCTTATTTCACTTTTTCTTTCCCCAGGGTAAAACTCCGTCACCACGAGCAGCTCATGCCTGTGCTACAGTTGGGAACAGAGGCTACGTGTTTGGTGGCAGATACAGAGTAAGACCCCAGCCCAGTTTAGCAGTGTATTACTGAAACCCAAACAGAATGTTTAAACCATCATCTGCTTTATTGTAGGAGTCCAGAATGAATGATCTTTACTATCTAAATTTGGATACATGGGAGTGGAATGAAATGTAGGTACTAAAACTTGTGCTCTTTTGTTTTTAAAGCAGTATGTAATTGCATATGAAGAAGTGGAGGGTTTTTGTGTGCGTGTGTTTTGGGGGGGGGGAGGGGGTTGGTTTTGTTACTTCTAAATATTCTGATGAAACTTAGTAAACTCGAGTAGAACTGATCCTCCTAACCCTGTTACTGTCAGGAATTGTGAAGTATGGATATGAGCAAAACTCTTACTTCCTCTAGAGTGTTGCAGGCTGGCTTCACAGGGTTAGTGTGGTATCTTCAGTGAACTGCCTTTTGCTATTCTAAAGAAACTAATTGCTTTTGGGTCACAAGCTGTGCAGAGGACGAAGTCCTATGATTCAAATATCTGAAAAATAATCAGAGCAGGAAAAAGCAGCAGCATTTTACCATAGCATATCTGTAATATATCTTGTGATGTTCTTATTTAAATACAGAATCACGCAAGGCATTTGCCCAGTAGGCCGATCGTGGCATTCTTTAACACCAATTTCCTCAGATCATCTCTTCCTCTTTGGAGGATTCACCACTGACAAGCAGCCCCTAAGTAAGTCATTCCAAAAGGATTTTATGCTGTCTTTGTTTTCTTAAACCGTTACGCGCAGAAGCTCGGGTTATTGCCTAGGTCACCTTAAATTCTTTCTAAATTCCTTCCGTGCACTCGTGTCATTGAACTCCTTATGGACAGCAGCTAAATTGACACAGTAGGAGTCAATGAATGTGTTGAGAAACTACTATTTCTAGAATTTAAGGTGCTCTAAAAATGCCTCTGTTGCAAATTGCAAGCAGTAAGAGCTTGGCAGTCCTCCATGTTTCCCTCCTTACTTTGCTCCTGCAAGCCAGTGCTTAAGGCCTGTTTTCATATAGCCGGCACTAAGTTTTGTAGGTTTTGTCCTGAAAAGCTTGATTTATTTAATAACAGTTTAATAACAATAACGTACATGCTCCAACAAACATGAAAGAACTAACAGTACTGTTTGTATTTGGCGTTTTGGTTGTTTTTAGGTGATGCTTGGATTTATTGCATCAGCAAGAATGAGTGGATACAGTTTGAGCATAACTATTCAGAAAAGCCAAGGTAAGGTGTACGCTCTTCTGGAAACTTACAAAAACTAGGGAGGAAAGCTTTCATGTTGGCATGACAGGGAGACAACACACCTTCCTCTTTATGCCACTCATTTTTTTTAAACAATGCAGTACCTTGAATTAGCAGTTTCTACCCCAGAAGTGCTGATGTATTGAATGCAAGCACAGTCAAGCTTAATACTACTGCTTGACTGGTGCTGGAGACGGCATATAGCTTAAGGCTTTTTTGTTGAAACAGCAGGAGATGCAGATGGGGATTTAAGGTTTTATCTACTGGCTGCAAAGGCCAATGAGCTATGAATGTGCCAGCACAAGAGCTTAATATTTTAACCTGTGTATTCTTGCTCTGCCAGCAAAACTCTGGACACAGGGAGGTTTGCACCAACCTATGCGCCTGTAGATGTGGTTAGAGGGATTGAATGCATGTGTGAGAAAGTGATTTCCACAAGTCTTGCACCGCTGTATTGTTGGATAAAAATCTGCTGGTGTTCCTTCAGTCCTGTGACGTGGCTCCACTGGGTTATGAAAGTGAAGTTTGTGCAAGCAGATTGTTGCAGTCATCCTGCAAAAGTGACAGGAGTGCTGATTTCACGCATGCCTGTACTTGCAGGCAGTGTGTTGCTGAGACCCACAACTCCACAGCCTTGCTCTAACCAGGGCAGCTTACACAGCCCATGATTTACTGGCTAAGAATTTTCCTTCTCTGAACATAAAACTCCTGTTGATTTAGCTTTATAGTGTACTGGTGAAAGGCAAACTGTGTGTATTAACTTGAAATACAAATCCCAACCCTGTCTTTTTGAGCACGTGGGTTTTTTTGTTTGCTTTGGTTAATGTAGTGTTGACGACTTCTGTTTTTAGGTTGTGGCATACAGCTTGTGCAAGCGAAGAAGGAGAGGTGATCGTCTTCGGGGGCTGCGCCAACAATTTACTTGCCCATTCTAAAGCTGTAAGTTTATTTCGAGCTTTCCCTTCCTGCGCGGCCCAGCCCTTCCCGAAGGAGCCGCCCTGGCTGTCGCTCCAGCAAATGGGAAATGCTAGCAGTCAGCAGCGTGGTCTTGTGAGGAACGGCAGAGGAGCTTGAACAGAGCTCAAAGGGGAAATGTTTTGTTGCTTTTCTAGAAACCAAGTCATTATTCATTACTCAAGCAAACTCTTACTTGTTTTCCCTCATATCCACATTTCATACAGGGCCTGTTCCTATCTCCAACTACTCCTTTAGTTTTTGCACTGTGCTGCTTCCCCAGGAATGTTTTCGGGGAGCCTCTCCCAAAGTCATTTCTTCTCTGATGCCTACCAGGAGGCCTGGCTGCATAGAGAGGGTCTCTTCAGTCTAGAGTAGCCAAGACGGGGGGGATTGCTAACATCTGTAAAACGGCCAGTTGGCTGGAAAGGGTAAACAGGCACTGTGTTTGCAGGACAGATAGGTTTATGTACGTTCAAGGAGCAGGTGTTTTTAAAAAAAAAAAAAAACCATCAGTGGCTGCTGCACGTAGTCCCTGTATCTAAAGTCTCTCACCTGCAGCTCACTGGAGACTTGAACGTTCTGCAGAAGCACCGGTAGGTGCTGACACTCATCTCCCCCCAAGCTCTGCCCTTGGCTGTGGTAGGAGCTGGGACAGGGGCTAGCGCAGCCAGGGACGGATCCGTGTGCGCGTGTGCTGCTGGCAGGCTCTAGCCCGCCCAGGCCAGACCAAGGCTCACCTAGCCAGTCTCCTGTCCGACAGCAACAGGAGATGCAGCGTAGGGAGAGCACGTGAGCCCGGCCGCTTTCTGTGCCCGTGCCCCTCCTGCTCCCCCAGCTGCTTGTATACAGCAGCAGTTTATCTGTATTTTAATACACCTTATAGTTTCCGGAGTGCCCCAACATCCCCTCTTGTAGGATTTGGTGAAGAATTCTGCGTTCAGCTTATTTGCTGCCTTTGTGATTTATATAAAACTTCGGTCTGGTCCCCATGGTCAGCCTCTGCAGCCCACAGAGTGCTGCTGTTGGTTTTGTCTTCCTCGCCAGGGTCTGTTTGCTGCGAGCCTTGGCTGTTCTGGCTCCTCAGTGCTGTAATAAAGTGAAGCCACGTAACCCAACTGCCTCTCTCTCTCTCTCAGGCTCACAGTAATGAAATACTTGTGTTTTCTCTACAACCAAGATCTCTTGTAAGGTAAGAAAACAAAACTTTAAACTCTCCTGACTCATCTGAAATGACTAGTGCAGGGTTAACAGCAGACCTTTTTCCTCGTGTTTCTGTGACACTGCCGAACATTGTTGTCTTGCAAAGAAAGCTGAAGCAGCATCAGCCAATTACAAGTGGACATGGCAAGATGCTGTTAATAAAGCACACAGCACATGTTTGGCACTGCAGGTGATGAGACTAAGTCCTAACTAATTAGCTTTAAAGAATTAGCTTATCTTGTTGCACTTGTTCAAAACTGTGCTAACAACTGACACAGGTTTTGTTTTGTTTTGTTTTCCTCTCCCCCCCCCCCCCCCCCCCTCTCTCTCTCTCGAAGCAGTCATTTGCTTTAAGGAGATGTTGGCCAGTTCCTGGAACTGCCTCCCCAAGCACTTGCTGCACAGCGTCAATCAGCGGTTTGGAAGCAACAACACCTCGGGCTCCTGAGCTGGCTGCACTGAGCTGGCTCTGAACAAGCTGTGCATGGCTGAGCAAGGCTAAAAGATGTAATAATTTTACCAAGTGTGGCAAACATTAAACCTGTATAGATTAAATATTGGTATTGTTGTAGGTAGTTGCTTCCTGCCTTTAAGTTGCATGTGAATGGCCTAGAGAGAACCTATTTTTGTGTAAAAATGTTTGCAATAAATGTATTTAATGCAAGTGGAGATGTATCCCATGCTTAAGCTAAAAGTAGGTCTGGGTTTGTCCACCTTGAAGAACTTGTGAGGGCCACCCCCAAGCGAGAAAAGGGGCTGCGCACATGTGTGGAAGTACTTGTTTATGGCAGCCCCAGCCAAGGACCTGTGGACGTTAGCTGTTGTGCAGGAAATACTGAGGCACCCTATGAATATTAAAGAGGAGCGTTGCGTTAGTCTAGGCTGAAGAGTGCTGTGATGGGTGAGCAGTCCTGTTTTAGTGTACAGCCTTAGGACCGTGTCTGCTTCACGCATTTTGCCACAAATGTTTAAGGTCAGAGAAATGGTTTTTTGCGAATTCTACATAATCAGAGTAGATAAACTGTCTTAAACCTTCAGGTGTTAAAGCATCACTACTCCTGCTTGTGTCTAGCTGGTTTTTGGAACTCGTCTATGTTGTGGAACTTATATGCGAACCTTAGGTAGCAGATATTCTGCCCTGAGAAGTAACTGAAAGTGCTCAAGCCTGTCTGCAGCTGCGTCAGCAGCCTGAACAGCTCACCTACCAACTGAGCAGCCTGAGCCACCACGGACTTGATCTTGGTAAAGGTACATGGAAATTGGCTGTGAAAGGGGGTCAGTGCTGGCCTTCATTGACTCAGCCCCAACTAATCTGCAGCCCCAGCTGGTGACAGTTGGGACAAAGAACAGGCTGTGCTGCTACGGGGAATGGGTCAAATCACGTTTAAGCTGTCCTCAAAAAAAAAAAAAAAAAAATCAATAAAAGACTTTGACTTCTAGACCAAAACTCCAGTATTTTAATTCCTGCGCCAAGTTCCTTTTGTATGGTTGGGCTACAAATGGAGTAAATGCTCAGGGTCCTGCGAGCTCTAGGAGTGAAGATGCTGTTTCAGAGCTCTGCCTGTGGTATACTGATAAAGCAAGTGCAGTTTTTAATGCTGAGTCTCAAGCTAATGGCAGGGCTAATTAACGGGTCTACCTGGAACTGCACTTTTATCTCCTGGCGACCAGAAGCATGTTTTAGGAAGGGGGAAAAAAAAAAAAGACACCCCCCCCCCAAAAAAAAAAAAGCCCTGCCTTTTCTGAAGTGAGGCATTCTGCACTGACACTCACTTCTGAACCTCACCTACTTCCACCAGAAACTCCACTCCCTTTCAGAGGAAAAGGGCAGCTGTGTGAGGAAACTGAGCATGACAGGGTTTGCTGCAGCAAATCAAGGCATGCCTTTGCCCGGGAAAGAGCGCTCAGCACCAGCATTCAAAGCATTAAAGAAAGAACAGCTTGAGATCATGTCACTGACCAAACGCCAGTAATTTACTTGCATGGTTTTATGCTCTTTGGACCAAGTGAGCTGTTTGTTAGAGTCCATCTAAACCAAGAAGCCGGAACTGGTCCACATCTGCCTGCTGACATGGAGACTCCATTCAGTCACTTGACAGCAGTCCAGTCCAGGTAGGTTTGTCAGTCTCATCTGAAGGCAGCTGGATTCTGGCTGAGCAGGGGTGGTGGTTGGTGATAAGAAATACAAGTATCAAATCACTTCTTTTTCCTGTTCAGGAGATTAGGTGCAGACACTTTCACTTTACCGGGAATATTTCTTGACAAGTCAGTATCCTACAAAACATAAAAGAGGAGAAATTGCACATAACGGAAAAGCCTGTTAAGAACAGCGTCCTCCTCCCCAGCTACTGTTTCTGACTGTTGGCACGAACGGATGTGCGTACCGCTCAGCACATTTCTGCCCGTTTCCTGCAAAGAAAACAAGGCTGACGTCACACTTCTGCTCTAGCTCCGTTTTAGTAATTTCAGCCCTGTTAGTGGTTTTTCTGTGCAGCTTCCACACGTTAGCTCCATTAGGCTAGCGTGGTCGGCTCCGTCATTCACTGGGCACGACCTGGTCTCTTGCGGTCGTTAACTGTTAATTGTGTTTCTCTAGCAGCGTTCCACGAAAAGCCAGCATCACGTCTGACGCAGTTCAATACTTTAATCAGTGAAACAGTACAGGCCAACGGTGGCTGTCACCCAGAACGGCCTGGGCTGCCTGGCAAACCGGGATCATTACGTTCAATGAGAAATAAACACCTGTAAGAAAACTCCTGTTATTTCCATTGGCATAACCTTGATTCAACTTAGCAGCAGCGCTTGGCGCAGTGAAGCCTGCAGGCCTGAGCTTGAACTTTAACCAAACCTGCGGGCTACTGCTGCCAGAACAACTGCAGACCCAGCTGGAACCAGCCCTCAGAGATGCAGCACGCAACGGGCAGAGGTAACGGTTCACCGCCGGATAAGATGCAGAACACAACGGGCAGAGGCATAGGTTAACCACCGGATGAGACACGGCACTGTGAAGCAGGACCATAGCAACCGTCCTGGGATGGAGACACGACCCAATCACAAGGATCGCGACCACCAACGCAGAAGACGACTGGAAGAGCCTGTCACTGGCAGGTGGGGAAATAAGACTGTAAGGAGTATAATTATCCTAGAACTTCTAGGTAGTGGAGTCTCCTTCGCTGGAGATATTCAAAACCCGTCTGGATGTGATCCTGGGCAATATGCTCTAGGTGACCCTGCTTGAGCAGGGAGGTTGGACTAGATGATCTCCAGAGGTCCCTTCCAACCTAAACGATTCTGTGATTCTTTGTTCTGGGTCCCTTTTCGGAGGCACCCAGCTCGAGCTGAACGAAACCATCGTATGAGTCTGACTCTTAGCGGTGAACGCCTGGGGACCTTTATAACAACACTCGAGGACTGAAAGTCATGACAAGCAATGTGGGATTGGGGGTGGGGCGGGGAGAAAGGGGACTGTGGTGCAAAAGGCTGATGGATCTGCAAGAGAAGAGCGCAGCAAAGAGCCGGCCTCTGTGCCGTACAAAAGCCCTGGCGGCAGGCACCGCTGTGCTGCAGCCTGGCGTCTTCCATTTAAAAAGGACCTGGGGAAACTGGCAGGAAGGGGGAAGAAAACTGCAGCCCTCGGTTCCTCCTGGGGGGGCTCAGAGCAGGACCTGGCCCTGGGCACGCGCCTCGCCCGGGGAGAGGAGCGCAGGCCCCCAAGCACCGCCGCGAGCAGCCCAGCAGGACCCGGCCCCACACTCCGAACCTGCCTGGCCAAACTCCCTGTGCCAAGAACTGTCCTTCCCGCATGCTGCCAAGAGCGGTGGGAATTTCCCTCCCTGAACCAGAGACCTTCCTGGAAGAGGAGGCTTTTGTCAAATATGTTATTATTTGCTGTAGCAGGAGCACAGTACAGAAACCTCATGCCCAGTGCTACTGGTTAGGCTAAATTGCTAACGATCCGTTCCAGCCTTAGCGATGCCTCTTCCCTAGCTGTACTGAGAAATACAACACAATACAGGGGAAAACAAAGCAACAGCACATTTGGTTTCGGACATCTTTACCCCCAAAGTGGCACTAGTGAACTTTTTTCTGCTGCAGTTACGTTTGTACAAGACAAAGAGAAATTAGTCACCTTCACACTGCGAAAGAGGTCTTTCTCTCTTGCAGTAGCTTCTTTGGATTGCATAAAATTATGCAAGGCAATCTTTGCAGCTGTAAAAACATAGGAAAGGAGATTTAAACAGTATCTAAAAATGCACTGGCTTCAGTAGGTAGAGCACTGAAAGGGATTCACGTGTGTTAATGCCATACCTTTTCCTTTCTTTTGGGTGCCTGGAGTGAGCTTGACTTTATACCTTGCAAAAGAAAAGGTTTCTGTAACTAGTACGGCAGGTTCCCATCTCACCGTGCAGGCAGCCAGCAAACCTTTCCCACAGAAAGGGCTGCAACTTACTTATAGTTTGTCATCGCCGTGTAGAGATGGGTATGGCAAAGAGCAGTACGTCCTCGGGGTGCGGCTGGCCCGTCAGGGAGTCCAGCAAGGCCTCTCCTTCCTGAAAGAGCGAAGAACCCGCGCTGTGAGACCAGAGCGCGGCACTCGCCCCGCCACCAGCCTGCTTCCCTGGCGAAGCAGCTCAAGGCTCCCCCCTTACCGCCGAGCTACAGAGCGGCCCTAATCCCACAGATGCCAATGCGGTTACCGAAACATACTGCGTTTAGCTTCATCGCTTACTTCACTGACGCTGACTTACCAAGCCACCACACGTTCCTGACCAGCAAACAAACATCTCTGATTACTGCAGTCGCATCATTCAAAACGGAACGGATCTTAGTTTTCACTGCACCAAAAAGGACCCCCAGCTACAGTTATATCTTCACAGCGTGACCAAAGGCTTCCCCCTACAGACAGCCGTTCAACTCCTTGATTAAAGGAGTGAAAGAAATCAGCTAATTGTCAGCTTTGGGCTACAGACCGCCAGTCTGTAATTACGGAAACTTTGGAGCAATTTTGTACGTAAACCAATTTCTAATCCAAAGAAAAACTTTCACTGCGTCATACTGTGTCATCCTCCTCCGGCCCAGGGTCACCACTGCTGCGGGATACAAAGACCTCAGCAGGCAAAGACAAGGGACAAACTTCCATTTAGCCAACCCCTAGTTTCTACAGGGGATACGTGTGATAGGCAGAGTATCAAATTAAAACAAAGCTTCCTTTTTTCAAAACACAAGAAACCTGGTTCGACCAGTAGGAGGCCAGAAGCGCGAGGTTTAACAGTGAAGGCGTGCTCTTCCGGAGGGCTCAGCGCAGGGGCCTCTGTGCCACCCCCAGCCTGCCGACAGCCAGGCTTGCGCCTCAGGGCCC